GATGAACCCTCTTCGATTTCCTTCTTCTTTCGCTCTTTCCCTTACTTTTTCTTGGGTTTCTCGGCCTGCATTGTCGACACCTCTTCGATTATCATTATAAAAGGCTCTTCCGTCTCCATTCTCACTGGGTTCTCTTCGGTTTTCAGCAGCAACTCTAAAACTCTGAGTTTATCTGATTCAAAAACCCTAAAAAATAGAATGAAGATCGAATGAAGTTGCTCCGTGCTCTCCTCGCTCGGACGTCGTTTGGTTTTTTGATGAAATAAACTTTTTTTCAGGCGCGCTGTTAACTTTTACTTATTTCGGACCGGATTCGAGCCGGGTCGGGTCGTAAACATGCCTCATTTTAATTTTTTTCAATTTAATTTTTTAAACATCCCACTAATCATGTGTCATTTTTTTCATTGGACATCCGCAACCATAGTTGCCTGCGGTGGGGTGTCCGGCACAGAATAAGAACTCCCGAGGGAGGGCGCTCCAGTTCATAGAACTCGCAGCCGGGGTCGGGCAAGGACGACGGAGGTTTGCGATGGCCGGCGACGCCGACATGAGCGGATGGACGGAGCTTCTCCATGCTTCTACGAAGTTGCTCGAGCAGGGCTCACCGTCCGCCCAGTTTCCCCCGCTTCAGGTCTCTTTATCGTCTATGTTTCACGCCATCTTACTACATTGGCATGCTTCCTCGCTTATTTTGTTAAAATATCGGGTTCCGCAGAGGAATCTTGAACAGCTGGAGTCGCTGTCGAAGAAGCTCAAGTCTAAAACCCTAAGGGCTGAGACCCCCTCGCAGTCCATCGCTGCTACTAGGTACTCTCATGGCCTTGTCCAACTGTTGTTCCCCTTTGATGCCCAAATACATCTCTTACGGGCTGTGCATAGAAATGCTGGGATTGTTTCATGTTTGATTTGTCGGATTATTTACATATTGGGCCTTATTATTGGGTGTTTTATGTCAATGGAAATATTATTTTTCTGTCCACAGGTTGTTAGCTCGCGAGGGAATTAATGCTGAACAGCTTGCGCGGGATCTCAAATCGTTTCAGATAAAGGTAACCTTCAATGCCTTTCATGCTATCCTAGCATCCGACTTTGATAGCTGAAGTCATATGTGTTTGTGAAAGTTCGAAGTTATACTCTTTCGTGTAAGAGTACTTCAGAGAGAAATTGACTGAGTTAATAATATCAGGGAGCTAAGTAGGATTATTGGGATGTTATCATTGGTTTTAAATAAATGCAAGACCCGTAAAATCTATTTAATATTGCAGACAACCTACTAAACTGTTTTATCTTGCAGACAACCTACGAGGATGTCTTTCCTTCAGAAACAACTACAGTGGAGGAGTATCTGCAGCAGGTAACTTTACGCGATGATCTATTTTTTGAGCGTTCATTTTGATTGGTAGTGCGATTTAGCGATCCTTTTACGAAAGTCTCAATGGAACAGTGGTCTTGTCTTTTGTCATCTTGATCTGATGAATGACTACTATTTCAAACATTTTGTGATAATGATTTTATGATTTTTGAGGACGCACATAGCTTCTTACAGACTCTAATTAGTTTTGATGACTTGACAGTAACTTATAATAATGTGATCATCAATTAAATGGCTTCGAAACATCAGTGACTTTCTTGCAGATCATTCATCATAACGTGTCAGTAGTGTATAAAAAGTCCAATAATTTATCTTTGCATCTTTGGATTTTGCTTCACTTGCAGTGTTTATTAGTCTGATAACTATGTGGCTCTCAATGTCGTCCTGAGCAGAAATCAAGATAATAACAAGTTATCTGTAATAAAATTATCGCTTTTTTGATTTATTCATCACTTTCAGGTCCATGAAATGGCGATGGTCTCGGCGATCCAAGAATCACAAAAGGACAATTTACGAAGTTTTAGTGACCACATGATGCGAGTTATGGAGGTTAGAGTTCTGTGCAGAACTCGTAACTAATTGAACTTGATGTGATATTGAGATCATTTCATTATTGGATGATTTTTAAAGGTGTAATTAAAGTTATAAAATTAAGTTGTAATATATTGATGGTCTTGCAAAATACTTATATGTGGAATGAAATTGTTGCATGAGTGCAATTATTCCTGCCTCCCTCTCCAGGCATGTATTTTAAGATCAATTTATTTTCCTACCCTCATGAGGTTGCTCCAATAATGGTAGTTATATTTAAGAAGCAGATTGTACTTAATTTTGAATCTTTCAACTAGCTTTAATAACTTGCATGCCAAAATCATTCTTCAAGTTAGTGTAAAATTGGAAAATTTATAGTTTTTTGTACGACTTTAAGCTCATTGATAATTCCATGCAGTTGGAACTAAATGTGGCTTTAGTTTGAGTTTTGTGTATTTCAGATACTTTCAGTTGATGGTATGATATAGAATCTCTTTCATTTCTGATCTTAATTCACGGATTCCTCCAAAAAAAGCATTGGTGTATTTTGGAAAATAGCATAAATGTAAGGTATAGCTTTCTATACTTTGTTTGTCATGGTTGAGTGAGATACTATCTGCAAAGGAGCATAGCTTTCTATAGGTCTATCTTCTTGAATTTCTTATCTTTAGTCAAGTAGTTAATGAGCAACTAAGTATTTTTGGTTATTTTTCACAACTCATTAGATGGAAATTCCGCGTGTGTAGCTCAAAACAAACTTTATTATTTCAAATGTTTTATTTTTTATTTGAATGTTGAGGATAATTGGGTGTCCTAAATGCTCAGCGTCATTAAGTATTTTTAGCAACATCTTATGAACAAGGATTCTAGAATATTGCATTTTAAAAGCTTTGAATAACTCACTAAATGTGATCTCCTAGATTTAACGGATGAAGGAAATTGATTAATGCTTGAACTATCTGTGAAGCAGGATTGAGCCATTAGCGGAGCATTTTTTCGAACCATGGTTGAATGAATTTTGAACCTAACTGGAAGCATATATGAGCCAGATTGAACAATTTTCGAATAATCTTTGAACAATGATCAAGCAATATTCAACTAATGATTGAACCACGATAAAGAAGTGATTGATCTTTGTTTGAGGCATATTTAAATAATGATCGAACCCTTTTGAAACAAAGCTCGATCATTTTTGAATAATGATCAAAACATGATCAAATAATGATAAACAAAAAGTAAAGAAGGATGAATATTCTTTAAAATATTTTTGAATAATGATTGATCCATTTTTGAATAAAGATCAAACCATTTTGGACAATGATCGAGTAATTTTTGAATGATGATTGATTAAAGTTTGAACCATATTTGAATAATTATCGAATGATGATTGAATAACGATCGAGTCATCTCCAAACAGTAATTGAATAATCTTAAAAAACTTTGAATATGATCGACGACAATCGACATATCTTTGAACAAGCATCAAATAACAATCAATCATTTTTGAACATTTTTTAAACATTTATTGAACAATAATCTATTTATTTTTTATCATGTTCAATGTATGATTGTTAATTATTCAATCATTGTTTAAATATAAATCAAACAATGATTGATCCATTTACGAATCATTTTCAATCTTTATTGATCTATGTTCGATTATTGTTTGATTCTTGTTCGAAGATGGTTCAAAGAGGATTCAATAATTTTTTAATCATCATTCGTTCAAGTTCCTATCATGTAATTTGATATCCATTTGCATTATAGCTTTTAATATATTTATCAGTATTATGGATTTAGGGTTTATAGGGCACACATTGCTTTCAAAACAAATAAATCGAATGAATAACACCATTGACCTTCACATGTAATAGGAATGGAGAGAGATTGTAGCTATGAATTATCGCCGCAGTTGGAACATGCATGTCAAAAGCATAGGAGCTATTGGCAATAGAAATGGTTAAGGTATGATTGAAAGTCAGGGTGTCATATTGGGTTCACGGTTTTGACCCGAGATTGATCAGACTCGAAACTGCATGTTCCGAACCCAACCTAAATATTAAATTGGTCAAAAAGTCTAATTTGAACACGCCATATCGGGTTCACGGTTTTGACCTGAGATTGATCAGACCCGAAACTGCATGGTCCGAACCCAACCTGAATATTAAATTGGTCAAAAAGTCTAATTTGAACACGATTGAACCCGACTCGCCTTCAACCTGTTGATATGAACCCAACCCATATAACTTATTTAGCATAAGGACCAACTGTTCAGGTCAAAGTTGAGTCAAATTTGGGTCAATTTCAAGTAATCTTGGGTCAAATTTGGGCTGGTGAGTCAATTTTGAGTCAATTTCTGGTTAACATGTCATTTTCGGGTCAATTGCAGGTTTGTGGGTCAACCTAAATATGTTCTGAAAAATTAAACGGGTATAGGGTTTCTAACTCGTACCTGACTCGAAAATTATTTGGGTCAACTTGAACTTGGATTTTTTGAGATGGGTTTGGGTTGAGGTTGCGCGTACGATCAATTTTTGACACCCCTAATTAAAAGGTTGCATAAGATTTTAACTAGGATTTGACTACTTATTAAATAACATGACTATTTTGATCCGATACAAGTTTTATAATATTTTTCTTCAATAAAACAAACATCTGGGTTACTCGGCCAATTTTGGGGCTTTTGAAGTGAAATTTTCCTCTTTTTTTCTTTAAATTATTTGGTTTCAATAACTTGAAATTTTTTGATATATTTGTATAATTTTAAAAATTATTGATTAGTTCATAAATCAATAAGATATTTATGGTAGATTTGAAATCACTGCCGAGATTTCTTCACCAAATTACTTGCATAATTCACACTCAATCCCTAGTAAAAGTAAAGATTCCTTTACAAATGGAATTAAGAAAAGGAAGTTGGAGAATTGTGTGAACCCAGAGGTGGGCGATGTTCCGACTGTAGGTCGTCCGAGGTGGTAACTTTTTTCCAATGATCAATGCTCCAGTTGTAGCTTGTTTCTGAGGAAGTATTTATCCTCGGCTTCAAATCCTCCGTATCTCTCCCCTCGTTGCCGCCAACACACCACATTTACGCATTGTCGAAACCACCAGACAACACTCCTATTGTCTACCTGCGCAATGGTCAAGTGGTGCTCCAGTTGTAGCTTGTTTCTGAGGAAGTCTTTATCCTCAACTTCAAATCCTCCGTATCTCTCCCCTCGCTGCCGCCAACACACCACATTTACGCATTGCCGAAACCACCAGACAACACTCCTATTGTCTACCTG